TTATTTATTTTGAGAGAAAAAGAAAGCAGGAGGAGCAGAGAGAGAGAGGGAGAGAGAGAGAATCCCAAGCAGGCTTCACACTGTCAGTGCAGAGCCAGATGTGGGGCTCGAACTCACAAACTGTGAGATCATGACCTGAGCTGGAACCAAGAGTTGGTCACTTAACCGACTGAGCCACCCATTTCCTTCATTTATGATGAAATATCACCAGATTAATCAGAATTAAGAGACACCTTAACCCATCTGTATAATATGACAGCTCTGGCCCCCAGATATGCCCTTTCCCTCTGTTTTTCACACATGATATAAATATTTGCCTTTTAAAAAAATTTGCTTATTATGTCTTCTTCAACTGGATTGTAGTTCCTGTAAAAGTGGGCAGTTTGTTTTGTACATTGTTATTTATATTTCCAGTGTCTAGAATAGTGCCTGGCAGATAAAAGGTTTTCAGTGTGTATTTATTAAGTCAATAAACATTGGGCTTGTAAGTGAGGCGTTTTAACCAAGGAAGTGACATGATTAGATTTGGAAAATCACTCTGGCTGCGGTGCAGATAATGGATGGTAGAGATTGACTTGAGCCAGGGAAACTCTTAGGAGCTGCGGGCTTCTATGGCTGAAATTCACACTAGTATTGATATTTAACATGTTTCAACAGTATGCGTGCTGAAAAGTCTCATTTGTTTTTGCACTGAGCTAGGTAATGTGTGTGTTTACCAGTTCTTCCAGCATATAGGCTGATAGGGGCATCCTTCCTTTGAGTCTCCACTAATTCCTGCTTGCCTCATTTATCCTTATATCATATCTCCCACAAATCCAGGCTTGCCCAGGCTCTGCAGGGATTGAGGGAACCAATAGGCGGAGCCAGCTGCTACTGAAAAATCCTCAATGTTCCTTTTATAATTAGGTGGCAGTCTTCTGAGTATTTACCCATAAATACCAACTAGACCAGGCTATAACGTGTCAGCTATAGTTAGCAAACTCACTTAGCACATCTGTGCTGTAAAGTAAGCCCTGTCTTCTCTCAGACCCCAACATGGTGCAGTCAAGTTTAATCTGTATATAGATTGTCTGTCTTTGGAAGTCATGAGTCCATTTATGCCACGGTCAACTCTGACACTCTCAGAGTCACACAGCTTTGTAATATCTAAGCCATAATTATCGTGGATTATGTTCAGTGATTGCCAGTTTCACGGTAACCTATGAACGAATTGTTGTAACAGAGAATCAACTAATAAAACATGTCAGCAGCAGCAGTTTCTATTCATATACTATAAAATGTAACATAGGGCTCAGGTGATTTTGTAATTTAAAATACAAATGCATTTTCTTTGTTACAAGAGTGAATTCTAGTGTATCAGCAGATAAGCTTAGGTATTTTACCCTAAGTGAATATGTTGGCACAGTTTAATTTATGGAAAGTATTTATTGATTTATTTATTGACTTATTATTTTTATGACTCTTAGAAATGAGTCATTCTGGAATTACTGCAGCCTTTAGTATTTTATAATAGAAGAGTTCCTCGTTCTCTTAGAATTAAAAGATCACTTAAATGAATTAATAAAAAATGAGCACTAGAAGTTTATAGTAAATAGTGAAAAAAGTTTGTTACCTAATCTTGAAAGATAACATTTAAACTCAGAAGTAAGTATGTTATCTTAACTTCATTTAAACTTGATCTTAAACTTTAACAGAATAAAAGCTCCAGGACCAGATGGCTTCATGGGTGAAATTTACCAAACATTTAAGGAAGAAATAATACCAATTCTGCAGAAACTCTTCTGGAAATTTGAAGAGGATGGGATATATCCTAACTCATTTTATAAAGGCAGCATCACCCTGATACCAAAATCATACAAAGACGTTACAAGAAAAGAAAACTATAAATAAATACCTGTCATGCACATAGAAGCAAAAAATTTAACAAAATTTTAGATAAAATCCTGAATATCTGGAAAGGATAAGCACATCGTGACCAAGTGAGGCTTATCCCAGGAATGCAAGATTGGCTTAACATTTGAAAATCGATCAATATAATTCATCATATTAACAGACTAAAACAAAAAAAAAAAAAATCATGTGGTCATATGATTATCTCTATACACACACATTAAAAAAACTTTGACAATATCCTGATATAAATAAAGTTCCATCAAACTAAGAGTAAAACTAAATCACAGAACTAAATGTATAACCTGAACACATAAAACTAGAAGGAAACGTTGAAGAAAACCTTTGTGACCTTAAGTTAGGCGAAGATTTCTTATATGCCTCACCATAAAAGGAAAAGGAAAATTGATGGAAATACATCAAAATTGAGAGCTGATCTTCCAAAGGCACAGTTAAGAGAATGAAAAGGCAAAGCACAAAGTAGGAGAAAATATTTCAAATCACTTTTCTGATAAAGGACTTGGATATACCTGCTGTATGACCCAGCCATTCTACTCCTAGGTATTTGCTCATTGTGCATACTATGACTTGTACATGAATGTCTATAACAGCTTTATTTGCCATGAGTAAAAGCTGGAAACAACCCAAATATCCATCAATAATTGGATGGATAAACAAATTTTGGTATATCCATACAATGGAAAACTACTCAACAATAAAAAGAAATGAACTATGGATACATGCAACAACATGAATGAATCTTAATTATGCTGAGTGAGAGTAGCTGGATAAAAAAGAGTATGTTGTGCATGATTCATTTGTACAAAATTTGTGATGATACAAACTAAGATATAGTGACAGGAAGCAGACCAGTGGTTGCCTGTTGATTGAGGAGGGACATGGCCAGGACAGGGGGAATGGTGAGATTTAGAAAAGAGTACCAGAATTCTTACAGGAGTTTCATTTGCTTGATCATGGTGATAGTTTCCTAGGTATATACATATATTAAAACATCAAATTGCACACTTTAAATATGTACAATATATTTTATGTCAGTTATACTTCTTTATTATTTTAAAAATATATTTATTTATTTTGAGAGAGAGAGAGCAGGGAAAGGGCAGAGAGAGAGAGAGAGAGAGAGAGAGAGAGAGAGAGAGAGAGAGAATCCCAAGTAGCCTCTGCGCTGCTCATGCAGAGCCAATGCAGGGCTCGAACCCATGAACCATGAGATCATGACGTGAGCGTCACCAAGAGTCATATGCCTAACTGACTGAGCCACCCAGGCGTCCCTGTCAGTTATACTTCAATACAGCTATTATAAAATTAGGACAGTGGAGCAAGACTGATCAATAAATTTGCCATGATTTTCCTTGTCTTGAAAGCTATCAAGTTTTTGGTGAAACGTAGACAAGTCAGAATCAAAAGTTGAGTTTACTTACAGCTATAAAGTCTAGTTGTAATTGTATTCTCTAATCTGTTTGTTTGCTCAATTAATTGTTTACCTATGGTAATGATTATTTTTAAAATATACTTTTGTATTGAATTGAGCAGGTAGTTTTTGAACATGGTCATGCACATGAATACCTGTGGGAATTTGTCAGACATGCAGATTTCCAGGGTGTTCTCAATCATGGGTTGGGGAATCTGCAACTTGAGCAAACTTCCCAGGCAACTTTGGTGTATGTATCCATAGATCACATTGCAGCATCACTTCTTTTTTTTTTTTTTGGTGCAAAAAAGGTAATTATTTTTATTTTTATTTTTTTCAATACATGAAATTTATTGTCAAATTGGTTTCCATACAACACCCAGTGCTCATCCCAAAAGGTGCCCTCCTCAATACCCATCACCCACCCTTCCCGCCCTCCCACCCCCCATCAACCCTCAGTTTGTTCTCAGTTTTTAAGAGTCTCTTATGCTTTGGCTCTCTCCCACTCTAACCTCTTTTTTTTTTTCCTTCCCCTCCTCCATGGGTTTCTGTTAAGTTTCTCAGGATCCACATAAGAGTGAAAACATATGGTATCTGTCTTTCTCTGTATGGCTTATTTCATTTAGCATCACACTCTCCAGTTCCATCCACGTTGCTACAAAGGGCCATATTTCTTTCTTTCTCATTGCCCTGTAGTACTCCATTGTGTATATAAACCACAATTTCTTTATCCATTCATCAGTTGATGGACATTTAGGCTCTTTCCATAATTTGGTTATTGTTGAGAGTGCTGCTATAAACGGTACAAGTGCTACCCCTATGCATCAGCGTACTCCTGTATCCCTTGGGTAGAATTCTAACAATACTATTGCTGGGTCATAGAGATGAGTCTACTAATTTTCTGAGGAACCTCCACACTGCTTTCCAGAGTGGCTGCACCAATTTGCATTCCCACCAACAGGCAGCATCACTTCTTAATAGAACAATGTTCACGTCAAAATGGTGCAAACTTGGATAGACACTTTGGACCACTGGTGCCCGATTGAAAAGGAGTATTCTTGATCTAGTTCATTGCCCCCCTGCCCCCCCTCCCCCTGTATATATATGTCCTCTTAGAAAGGACAGTTGACTTATTTGAAAGGGGCAGGAAATTTGCATTTTTTGTGTGTTGGTTGATATTCATGTTGCCTGCTCTCATTAGAAAATAAAAAGTGTACAGGTACTAGAAAGAATTCAGGTGCTGTAAGGTTTCCTTTTCTCTTTTTTCTCTTCTGCTTCTTCCCCCGCCTCCTTTTCCATTCTTCACGATATTCATTGACCTGCATTTGGGGTTTTGTGTAATAATCATGTGCTACATACAGATCTGTTTCCGCCAGGCCTTTCAATAGTGAAAGGACAGGGGGAGCAGGAAGAAAGAACCATCGTATACTTTATCAGGTACCTTAAAAAACAAACACACAGTAAGAGCAACATTAATTCACCACTTTGAAGTTTGAGATCACGGAGAGCAAGAAAGCCTTTTCAATATATGTATTTCCTTCTGCTTTTCTGGGGGTTGATTTAAGGTTGCTCACTTGGAGAATCACAGATGTGTTGTTCACTCTTGTAACTTAAGATTATGTGGTTGAATGTTCCTTACTGTCTTTTTAGTGCTATATTTATTCTTTGTTTTCCACAGACATGATGCCATCATTATCTCAGGAACTGAAATGGCCAAACAAATCCAGAAAGAAATACAGAGAGGTGTGGAATCATGGATTTCCCTTGGGAACAGAAGACCTCACCTCAGTATCATTTTAGTGGGTGATAACCCAGCAAGCCACACGTACGTCAGGAAGAAGATCAGAGCTGCGTCTGCTGTAGGTGGGGATGCGTTTTAGTTGTTCTTGTTACTAAGTCATGTCTTCTTGTGTTCCTTCAAAGTGCAGTAATTATCAGTGAGAATTGCCAAATAAGTGCCATTTGAATAACATTTACCATTATTACCATTACTATTAGAGATGAGTTACCCAAGTTTATATTCATTTCTTAATGTTTTTCTCCAGCTTTCTTACTGAATTAATTTGATGTGATTTCAGATCCTATGGTGATATGTCAGAGGAACACTGCACATTTAAAGAGCCCATTTTTAGGGGTGCCTTGGTGGCTTGGTCGGTTGAGCGTCTGACTTTGGCTCAGGTCATGATCTCGCAGTTTGTGAATTCGAGGCCCACATCAGGCTCTGTGCCATCAGCCTGTCAGCACAGAGCCCACTCCAGATCCTCTGTCCCCCTCTGTCTGCCCCTCCCCACTGGCGCTCTCTCAAAAGGAAATAAACATTAAAGGGCCCATTTTTAGGTATAGCATAGGGAATGTAGTCAGTGATATTGTAATAGCATTGTATGGTGACCATTGTAGCTACACTTGTGATTAGCCTAGCTAGCAAAATGAACATACTTGTCGAATCACCATGTTGTATACCTGAGACTGGTGTAACATTGTGTGTCAGCTGTATTTCAATTTTTTTTTAAAAAAGGCCTATTTTTATTATACTTGCTTTAATCAGATAATAAACCTGGCCAGTTCGCTCTGCTGAACTTGGCCTAATAATGGTGGTGAGGGGTATTAACATATTTACTAGATTCACATCCCCTAACAGTAGCTTATCACAAATAAATGCAATACGATACTGGGCCAAAAATTGCATGTGAATCATGAGAAAACATCTGTACTCTTTGAGACATCCCTTTTAGTGGTGGTTTGAACATCATTTTTGTAGAAGGTCCTTTCCTTCCAATGAGGCAAGGCGCAGAGGAAACCTTTTTATGCACCGTGTAAGACACCGTTGTTGAAAAACCACATCTTTGCTGGTCAAATGACTCTCTCTGTGTTTGTTGTTCTTCCAGGGATCCGTAGTGAGATCATTCTAAAACCAAAGGATGTTTCTCAGGAAGAACTTTTGGATATAACTGATCAATTGAATATGGACCCACGAGTCAGTGGTATATTGGTTCAGTTACCACTACCAGGTACCTAAGGCTCTTGTATATGTCTGCTTTGGTGAGGAAAAAGGGCGTCTTTCAACATTCTATCACGGCACTGCAAGTAGTTTAGGAAATATGTTCACGAAGGGACTAGCTCTTACACTAGCAGGTAAAGCTAGTTGGCAAAGCCTGGATGACTTCTGCTTGCAATGACTGAAACTTATAAAGAAAAAATGTAGGCAAAAATTACACATAGTCCTTACTTTGTACAATAGCTCCAAGACCGTGACAATGACTGTGCACGCTGAAACCAGGCAAAGCAACCTTAAAAACCCAATGGGAAAAACAACAGTCATTCTCTGACCTTTATTTTTTTATTTTATTTATTTATTTTTTTTTTAATTTTTTTTTTCAACGTTTTTTATTTATTTTTGGGACAGAGAGAGACAGAGCATGAACGGGGGAAGGGCAGAGAGAGAGGGAGACACAGAATCGGAAACAGGCTCCAGGCTCCGAGCCATCAGCCCAGAGCCCGACGCGGGGCTCGAACTCACTGACCGCGAGATCGTGACCTGGCTGAAGTCGGACGCTTAACCGACTGCGCCACCCAGGCGCCCCTATTTTTTTATTTTTTTAAACAAAAATTAAAAGAAATATTTTTTAATGTTTATTTATTTTTGAAAGAGAGAGAGAGAGTGGGGGAGGGGTAGCGAAGGAGGGAGACACAGAATCTGAAGCAGACTCCAGGCTTTGAACTGT